TCGCGTGGCACCGAGCAGCCAATCTAACCAGCTACAGACGGACTATGAAATTGGAATTGAAGTTAACATCAATAAGTAATCGTCTTTCTTTAGCCGTGAAGCGTGCACGTATTTACAAAGTATGCACGTTCCTATACGGATGTTCCGCTTTTACTTTATGCAGGAAATCTAACCTAACCTAAGCGTAGGTGTCTGCTACACGTTTCTACTATACTTATCGCGATAGGACGAACCAAATATATATATATTTACATAAAACAACACTGACCCATAAGCCCAACATGAGCATCCCATATAGCATTGAATTGTGACTGGTATTGATCGTGGGTTTTGGGGAGTAACGAGGATGAGTCTTAGAATCTCATATATGACATATATATGAAATTACTGTTACGCCACAAATCATTCTGTCTGTATTTAAATTTCTATGCGGAATCATGTTTTTTTTTTTATGCCGCATGAGTCACGTCGTTTTCTCACTATTCTTCTTCGCAGACAATGGCGAGACTGAGTGGGGTTAATGGATGATATTCTCATTTTTTGTTCTCCCATTTTTTGGTGAAAATACGTTAAATTCAGTGCAAGGACAACCCAACGCGTGCGTGACGATGAACTTACGCCTGTAGGACAATCGCGTTACATGGTTGTCATTATGGTGGCAAGGATCGTGGTGCAACTGACAAGTGGCAGGCTATTAGATGCAGGAAGTGAAGAAAGTACACGAAGTCTCTATATATATGTATAACAGTAGATCATAGAATTCCCAACGTCTTTCCTAGCGTCTAGAGTCTAATTAGCAAGTAAAGGAAATGTCAGCGAGTCTCCCAAAGTTCTGGTTGCGCGTTTCACTATGGACGAGATAGAAGAAAACGTAACTTGACTCACGTGCGTGCTAAGTGAACGTGCAAAGCCACCAATGGAAATTGGTCAGACTGAAAGAGTCAGGGTCTAGAAAAACGATAAAGGTTGACTGGTGAAAGAAAGGGAAAAAAAACTAGGGGTCTATAAAAATCCCTAGATGGACTTCATTGCCTAAGCATCGAAACCAGTCGGGGACCTAGGTCGATCGAGCAAGATCAATAAGGTTGTCGATCAGGTATTACGTTTTCGGATCTGTTACACGTTACCGTCTGGCATTTATTTGACGAATAAAAAATTTCTTCGACACATCCACTACGTCTTTCGACAGCTCGGAGACACTTGCCAACACGATCCCACCTAATCGCCGCGTTTCGCTATTATCAGCACAGACTAAACGGCAAATTGAGATCCGATTTATCTGATTTCAAGGTGATAACTTTTTTCAGATTTCCAATACCCACCAGACCCTGCAATTTTTTTTCAATCGGAGCTGAACGTCAGAAGCACTTACTCACACTTCAAGGATAGACTTTCGATCGATGATGCATTTAGTGCAATTGCGCAACGACGGGCAATCAATTTTTTTTCAGCGAATCGGTATCAACAATTTAATTAGCGAGTAGTCAGTCAATTTTTTTCTCCTTGTAAAAGTAAAAAAAATTGGTCTCTTTCGGAACTGGATGAAAAAAAAAAAAAATTGGCACTGCAGTTGCGTAAGCGCTGCGCACCTTTCGGCTTAGGCTTAGAGGTTATACACGGCTGGATAAACTGTCACGTTTGTCAGTCGGAGGCGACATACGAACACGTATTGGTACCAGGTACCGTTTGACTTGTACGCAATGCGAATTTCGTTGTATGCAGCTGCAGTGCACTTGAGACTAAAGTCGATATAGATATCGCATACGCCTATAAATTCCTTAGGAAATTGTTTCATGGGCACTTTGAGTTTTTCTCGGTATACCCAGCCGCTGTTCTCAGCCGGGGAAAGGACTTTTCTCCTTGGAGTCGATCAACTTGAACCAGAGACAGCGCGTAACGGTCGGCGGCGCAGAGCCGATCGGATCATTTCTATGAAGCGGGATAACTTCATTGGCGGGCCGGAAACTAGAGGCGCTATTGTATGCTAATAGTTTTTACGAATACGTCGCTTCTCGCTTAACGGCATTAGGTCCGGATGTAATTTTATCATTTTTTTTATCTTAATTTTCCACTCGGAAAAAAATTTTTTTTACACCATTTTCAAAGTACTCGTACGATATTTCAGATTTTTTTTTCTTTTTTTTTTAAGATAAACCTCCTCGATGTCTATTACTGCCTATTATAGGAATTTGCAAATGGGGGGTGAAATCGATTGCCCATGCGGAACGGCGATCGCAGCGACGCCACGACGCCGAGCGTCGTTATCTCGTGAAACTCGCTGAGGCCACTTCTCAGTCCCGGGAAACTTTCACCCAAAAACCGTTACCCACCTAAGATTGATGTTTGGTAAAAAAAAAAAAATAAAAAAAACAAGAACAAAGGGGAAACCCTTTTTCTTCGAGCGTCTCGTATCGCCGATTTTCGATCGATTCGTTCTCTTTTACACTTTCTCGATTACTCTTAGATCGGCCAAGTATCCTTGTATCGGGGAAATGTACGCGGAATATGTTATTCGCACGTACCGCGTGACGTTGCATTTTTTTTTTTTCATAAGTCGGACGATTTTTTTCAAATTTTTTTATGCCAGTCATCCTTGACACGGATTTCAATTGGTATCTGTAGATAGTGCGTTTATATGATTCCGGGCTTTTCTTTCCTAATTCCATCTACGGCTTAGAACGTACTCCGACTGCTATGGTCATTACCGTATTAGTACTCCGTTACATAGCATTAAATTGCATATGCCTTACCTTTATGGAATGAAGTGGCTACAAGTGCACTAAAGCATCGACCGTGGATACACGAATGATCGCCGGTAGCATCGAAATTTTTTAGCATCGACGCGAATACGTTTCTCAATGTATTTTTAGGTTAGAATAAGACCACTTTTCCTTGTAGACTTTCATTGCTACAGGGAAACGAGAATTGGCTGTAGAAACGAACAGATATTGGAGTATCGTAAAATTGATTCTTCGATGATAACAGGTTCAAATTTTTAACGTGTATACTATGTTGCGCGATGCTTTTTAAGTAAACGAAAAATCACCTTTATTCGACAACGTAAAGGGAAACGATAAATTAATCGAAATTTGTGCAAATATTTTATGGCTGCTCTACTTATCTTTTTTTGGAAAAAAAAAATAATAACGGTTGCCTTTTTTGTAATTTTCTCTTTTTTTTCCTCGCCTCGTTCTCTTTTACTTTTATATCGTTCATTTTACACAGTTCAACTGGTCGCCGGGAGATAGCAGTTCCGGCTGCTTGCGCGCGAAATTCAAGTGCGCCGAGAATCGCACGAGAAATAAAAGTATAATCATCCTCTTTTACGGTACCTTTGCACTTTACTTTTCATAGCCCGGATTCGACTAAAAGTTTTTAGATTTTTTATCTTTCTTCTTACCGAAGTCGAACGTCAGCTGACAGAATTTCTTCACTCAATTTACAATTGACCCCTTTCGTGACTTTCTTCCACGATACGCATTAATATGGCATTTGATTTTCACCTATGAAATTCTGGTGCTCTGTACATCAAAAAGTACCTTTACCGGTATCGTATGCACGTCCTGCGGTATTTAATCGCAACTGCATTCTCTATTCCAGAAGAAAAAAAAAAGTTATCCGCATGCCCGCGCAACTGCATAATAACTGCAATACTTAGAAAGTTGCATGAAAAAATAATTCTTTTTATCCCTACAATTTTTTGTCAACGATAAAATTACGTAAAACGACTAAAATTGTGTTTAACAAAAAATTACCATTTTTTTTTTAAATTAAACTACAAATTTTCAATGAAACATACTGAAATTTTGCAGAAAGTTTACTACAACGGGCGCACCTATTCCGTCGAAGATTCTCGTACGAAGATCAGTCGAAAGTTTGAATAAGATCGATGCTATCGTGTACGAGGAGCCTATCGGCAATCTTGTCCGTCAATAATTTTCTTTCTCTACTTCGATTTCCCCCCCCCTCCCGCCACCACCAAATCGCTTTCTTTTTCTTTTCGTAGACCTCGTCCGTTTCTCCCGTGGCAAAGAACCGCCTCGACCAGTTCTCCTAGCCAAGTTCAATAACGTGCCGGCGACTTGGTCGCGAGCTTTTCCCTGCCGTGAACCGTTAAGCGCGATATCGGTGGAGTTTTGCCAAACTAGTTTTCAAGCAGGCGACAGTGACCGTTTGGCATATAAGTAGTACCAATGACGAATACCGACTCATCTAGAAAAGTCTTGTGATCTCCGGGACACATCGTATCACTGAGCTCAGAGCATCTAGGTTGAACAGGTTGTTTGGCGAGTCTATCGTAAACTGTTATACGAAGAGACAGGCTTGAGTGACTCTCTTTAATCTCTCTCTCTCTCTCTCTCTCTCGTGGGAGACCCATTTCTAGTGGCAATGCCAAGTAGCGCGTTCCGCGATGGTAACACGTTGCACCGTGCTGAGGTTGGTCTACGGTGAACCAGGTACCATTGCCAGAGAAGACCAGGTAACAAGAACGAAGTTGATAAACGAAATACCTCGACGTAAAAAATAATACGTCATAAAATCACGACGTCACTTTAGGAGTCCCCGTACTCCGTGTCACGAGAAAACCAGATAAACTCACTTTGTCACTTGGGTGGTATTCTCGTACGTCGTGAACTTGACGAGGGACGTGCAGGAAATGCGGGCTGGACGTCGGACCGAGAAGCGCACTGGGTAACGAGTAGAGGGAGCAGGAGAGTTAGAGCAGACGGAGTAGGACGGTTAAAATAAGAAGAGAACGAACGAAGAAGAAGAAGAACAAGAAGACAAAGAGAGGGTGTCCGGTTTACGAGGTGTGGAACAAGGAAACGGTAGGTTCGAAGTCCAAGTACGAAAGAGGAGAAACACCTGACAGGGTCTGAGAGGAGGTGAAAAATAACTAGGATCCATGGACCGTGTTCCAGGATCGAAAGGATGACGAGCATTGCCGATGACGAAGATCAGGATGCCCGATGATCGAGTGGATGATTCGAGGAACTGACCTTTCTTCCTCTTGGCGGTGGTGGTTGATACGCGAACTGCCGTTCCGTCCTCGGTATAAAGGACGAAGAGGGCCAGTAGTACGAGTGTCAGGTGAGTTCCGTAGGACCTCATGGCTGGGGCAGCTCCTTACGGACTGGTGGCTGAGGCACTGGCTCAGCGGCAACTGACGACTTTGCCGGCCACTCTATCAGGACTGTCACTTGGTTAGTGTTACACCGCAATCCCCGTGGAGAACTACCACCACAACTGGAGCACTATCCTAATTTCTACTAATATCGTTTACTCGAACTCCGAGTCCCTGCACACCTATTTAAAACCTATCGCTCCACCTCGCGGCTCACTATTGGCTCCTGCCCCAATTCCTTGCCCAATGGTACAGTCCCGCGCGCATTCACCTCCTTTTGAGATGCAAGCCTGAAGCCGACGTCGTGAGGTGGGGTGCCGTCTACCTGGTGGCAGGTAGGAAGGAAGGCGCTCGGCGAGGTGGTAAGGACGTCGTGGGTAGGTGGTGGTTGAAGGTGGTAGGTGGTCATGCCTAAGGTATGTACCGGGCGTACCGGGTAATGAGGTACGGATCGCGTAGTGAGGACGAAATTCCTCGGGTTTCTCGTGACGAAGGTGAAGGGAGATTAGGTGGGGTTCATCCGGCGCTTGGTCCTTCGCCAGAGCGCGAAGCCAGACGCAAGGAACAAGAAGATGGTGGGGTGCGTATGGAGCGCCCGATTCAACCTCCGTTTCGTTCACCTTCCTTCCTTCCTCGTCTGCCTCCTGGCTGTCTCTCCGAGCCCTGGTAACCTGGTCCACGTACCTAGAGACCTCTACCTGCCGTTACCTGGTCTATATCTCTCTCCCTCCTCGTTCACTCTCACTGCTCGGACCGATCACATGCTACGCCACACGTAACGTTCCTTCTCCTTCGTCATTGCCTTCCCTTTTTCCGATTCCTTTCCTTTTCGTTCAGCTATGCGTTTCGATAATTGCACCGGACACGCCTGTCCAGGCTATCTCGTAATACCTTGGCTGTACCTTGAGGTACCTTGGCAATGAGCCTGTTACCGATGATCGTTGCCTTGCGTTATCCTGGAATTAATTTTTTTTAATAATATCTAAATATTCCACCTGTTCCCATACGTACCTCTCGATTCTCATTCTGTTCCGCTGGTCTGAGTGCCTGGTCCGCGGGTTCCTATCCTTCGCCTCTTTAACTCCCGATTGTCCGTCCGTGGCTCAAGGCGAGCGCAGAAGTCGTGTGCCTGCTGTAACCTTTTTTTTTCAATGGTACAATATTTTCAGAGACCTTGAGCAGTACCTTGAGGTACCTTGAGAGGTGCCGGCTTAAGTCTCTTGCGCTAAGATCACTGAACTCGTGTATTATAGCTATCAGAAGTGAGAGGTGATACTTCTTTTTTTTTGGGTCTTTCCGCTTAATTGAAATTACACTTTCGTTTCCGTGATTCGCTCGAATTCTAGCGACAATAAGATTTCTTATATCTAATGGTCATCGTGGACCACGTACATTGTCATTCGTACAATTCTAATCGATAAAAGGTAACGGTGTCTTAGATTCGTATTTCTTTTCTGTCAGTCCAATGAAAGTGATCGAAGGCGACCAAACCAGAGGCGGACATCTTTCTCTCCATCTTCATCGTCCTTCGCAGTGAAGTTAGCCGACTTTCGAAGTGGTCGAATCAACCTGGCAGCCTGCGCTATATTAATTTACAATTTTCAGACGTCCCGTCCGTGGTCATTGGTCCGCTCCTGGATACGTTTCCTCTCCATCTGATTGAAATTCTCGTGACTGGTCGCTATTAAAAAAAATAAGCAGGATAACAATAAATTAAATTTCGACAGTCAATAATATAATTGAAGCATTAATAACGACCGTTGACTCGTCCTAATAAATTTTTACCACACCATCAATGACTCTCTTTTTTATTTTCATTAGCTATAGATTAGATTATAATGTCAATAATAATAATGTCAAAGATAATTTTAATGCAAATTTTTTACGTCTCTTTGAACTTTGTAAGAGCACTAAGATTCAAGTATCGTGTAAGGTATAACAGATAGCGCCATAGGAATTAGCCAAAGGATACGTAACCATCACAGTCTGGTTTTAAGACAGTACTGTAAAAGATCGTATTCTAGGCAATTGACTTGCACTTTACGTTCTTAGTGCATACCGATCGAATTGGAACGCAGTTGTAAAAAAAATAAATAATCCAACTGGTATCAAATGAAAATGATACACGTTAAGTTAAATCGGTGCAGTTTGAGTAACTACTGGTCTGTGCACGTTTCTTATGCAAATTGCTATTTTTTTTTTACTTTTCACCGTCTCACGTTCCCGGTTATAGGTCATTGTCCACCGAAAGTCGAAAGTTTCATAATACGAACGTAGCTACGACTGCTCGAGAGTCCAAGTAGCAGAGATGCAGCGGAGATACAAAGTACAACCGTGCATACATTTTTTCCGAACGTAATGCAAATCCTTGGCGTACACTATTCTCGACTCGAGGAATTAACTTGGAATGTCCGTGATTGAATTTGATTAAATTTTTCTCTTCAAATTTAAAAATTCCAACCGTCCACAAAATATATCCAATTATGAAAATAATTGCAATCCGATGACTCAAGGGGATACCGGGTATCATGATCTATGCTAAAATTTTATTAGCAACGCTCGAGGGTGTCACGCCAAAGAAAGTGCACCGATTGGATCGATCATTGGAAATCAGTAGGGGATCAATTACAGCGCTTATAACAATGTCCGGCATAGTTCGGATAATTGTGTAAGTATGTACACTGTGAAACAAATGGCCACATAACATTCCGGACTGAGGTTAGAAATTCGAGTAGAACGAATTACAATTTCAAATGCATTAAGCTGGTCTACCGACAAAAAGTGGAGACCCAATTGAACGAAGGCACCAGCTGCCAACTTTTTCCTGGTGCGCGAGCTAAGCCCAGAATCCGGCTTGTAGGATTGCGTAACACGTGGCAGAACATTTCCTCAAAAAAATAAAAAAAAAATAAAAAAAACCAAAGTGTGACAATAAAATAGGCAAGATTTTTTTTTCTTCGTCCCAACTAATTCCCAAGTTAATTCCGGAATTATTCACGTATACATTGTAGACAATTTACGAGGTGGTAAAGTCAACCGGAAGTTGACGGTCTTGATTTCCGTGACCAGCACGAAGAAACAGTCGCAAGTACCGGTTTGAAATGAGAGATTGCGATGAATTTGGTATTCGCAGCTAGCTCTGCTCGAATCGCCTGCACTTTTTTACATTATTACCTCTGCGTTTTCTTTTTGAATGCATTTTTTTTTTCTTTTCTTCCTAGTACCTACTGCACTCTCATCCATCCGGTACGAAGGCAGCGATAAACCGTAGGACCAATGGCAGCAAGGCTGAAACGCTTGCCAAGCGTGCAAGTGAAATGCAAGTGCAGCACGCGACGCATCCTAATGCACTTAAGAACGTTCTACTACAAATCTTACCCGTTCGTCCCGCTGGTCTTCGTTTACCCACCGCCTGGATGCGTAGAAGTGCATTTCTGGCTCCCACGCACGTGGCCCATCGCGATGCACGGTTCGCCTTACGCGGATTCCTCGTTTCTTACGTTGTCAGTCGAAAGGGAATCTATTAGAGCAGCCAGCGGAACCGATTCTAATCGAAAGGACACGCGGATCGATCTGAATTACTTTCCCCGCCGATTGCGACAAGTTAATTGTTATTAATCTTTTTTTTTATCTTTTTTTCCTACTCCAACGTCGCGCTGAAATTTCTGTATTAACGAGGTTCCGTTTCTATCGTGGGAGATTGGGTATTCATGGGCGGAGGAACTAGCCCAAGTCTTTTCTCATGATTTCTCAAAAAGACAATGCACAGACTTCGGTTCAATGACGGGCGTGTATTAATAACTGCAATCGGTGCATCACAGACTTCTAACCAGGAGACATGCATATTTATTAAAATTACGTTGAAATCGACTTACCGTCATTTAAAGACGACGGCCTAGAGACATTGAAAAACGAATTTTTAATAAAAAAATTTTCGCCTTACACAAAAGTGTCTAACGAGGTAAATTATTTTGGTGAAAATAAAAAATGAATATACAGGATACCTCGGATTTTATAATCATGGTCAACGTGGGTCAAACGCTTTATCATCCCGGCACGATCCAGATTTGTCTTATTTGATTGATAAAAAATTTTGTAAATTTTTTATCCACAATTCTTTGTATCCCTTTCCAGTTAACCAATGGATCCTTCGTCCCGATCTATTTCGGAGACTCCGCGTTATTCGCCATTGGCCAATTACTGTGCAATTAATTGTATCTTATATACAGGATAGGTTAGGTCTCACGCTAGTTCCTCTGTATCGTGCAGCCTCAGTAGCCTTTGCAAAAATAATAATCGAATTGGCCGATCTATTCCTGGTAAGAGCCGAGACCGATCCGCTATCAGTTGCGTACGATCGGGACGCTGACAGTGCAGTGACGTAACGATTACCTGAACGCGGAACAAGAACGAGACCAGCCACTGGACACAGGGCACACGACTTACGGACTTGGGCTGCTTCCTAATTCAAATCCGGATTCTGTTTTACGAAGGTCATTTTTTTTCCACGGCTTTTTTATAACCCAAACGTAATGTTCATACCCACCTTTACATTCTCCGTTTATTTACCTGCAGCTACTGGGACATCCGAATCCGATGACCTATCATTGATCAAAGAGCCGAAGTAATAGAGCATTTGATCCAGATCGCTTCTAAGCTTTGCGAAGGACGTCTTTGTTTCATGTGGAAAAAAAAATAAAAAATTTAACCAGCATGTATATCACGTAGGACAGACGTATTTAATTGGAAACAAAGTTTGCGGAATTGATTTTTATTGCTGCCGGGCAATTTTGCAAATTTACGTGTGTGTATATATAGCATCCTGAAATTTGCTATATCATACTCTTAAGTGTTTTTTCTATCGCGTGACCGTTGCCATGTCGAAATTTTCAAAAAAAGGGCGCATTTTTTTCTTTTTCTTTAAAATTTTTTTTTTTTGTAAGACAATTGTTTCGATCTGCCCAGTAGCGGCGAAGGTCGATTATAATCGTTACGGATGACAATTGACGCGTTTAATGGATTTCCGGCTTGCGCAGTAGTGTACTGTGAACATTCGGAACACGGGTAAGTAGATTGTGTAATATAGTAATTTTTGGTTACCGAACGGTGGTAACAATTACGTGCGATATGAATAGTATCGGTAAACGAATCTTATTTACAGATAAGAGAATTACCTTCGATTTCAATAGGCTGTATGTAATTTATATAGTGCTGCATTGTATAGAAGGTATCGTTTATCGGTTGACCGATTTTCAGGATCTTTTTTTTATTTGAAATTTGACAGGTTCTTATCGATCTCTTCATCGATAAGCATCGATATATCCGAAAGGCAAGGTCAAATTAACTGTGGCACACCTGATTTTGTAATTTGTTAAAAATATGTGATTTTTTTTTTTTTTTTTTTTTTTTTTTTTTTTTTTTTTTTTTTTTTTTTTTTTTTTTTTTTTTCTTCAAAATCTATGAGTATCTGATAATTAACCGTTATGACACGTCATGGTCAACGGTATCAAATTTCATGTAGCTACTGTGTTGATTTATAATTTATCACAGCCTCTTAACGTATATGTGGAGATATTCAAGAAATATTGAAATTTTCACCTATGGGTTATTCAACTCATTTGTATTCATCATGTAGTTCTTTTTTTTTTGTATTTCTTCCTCGTCTTCGTTTCTTGATCTTGGGACACGGTCAGTGCTGTAGATTAACGATTATGCCAATGCAATATTCCTGACAGTCTATATTCATTAGCATACGATTAAGTGGCTATTATGATTCATGAGATACACATTGTCAATCTTAATGGCCCGTTTCGTGTATTGGCTGTGTAAATACGTTATTGAGAATTATTTTGCAAATTATAACGGATCTTGTTTAACATTTTTTTTTTTATAAATGGTTAAACTGATAATTTTTCAAAAACACGTCATCACGGATCAGGCTGGTCGAATAATTAAGAATGTATAAAAGCGTTAAACCTGACTGGCAAATATTCGACTGAGAATTTATGCCTTTTTCTGTGTCGGTACAGTAGGTCAGTCAATGGCAGGTGACATTGTTTGAAAAAAAATCAACAAGCCAATTTTTAACTTTCATCTTGATAAAAAATTCGCCTTGGAATTCCATCATACCTAAACGCGTTGCACAATTCTTTCTAGATTAAAGAAAAGTACAGTGCCGTTTGCAATATTAATATGCAAGGCAAAAAACTGGTTTGCTTTGCTACTGTTGAA